CCTCTACATGGTGGACCCAGGGCAACGTATTCTCTTACGACAAAATAATCTATAAACCGGCAGTTGACTTCTGACTCCAAATTGCCATGACCACACTGTATGTCATATTCGACCACTTCTACCGTACTAATCTTATCTTTTCTCTGCCTTTGTGTCTGTTTGTCTGTCGCTTTATCATCTTTGAATCACTCTTCCGTTCCCCCTCTCCACTTTTTCTCATTTTGATGCTCCTCCTCTCTGTGAAGCCCGAAGTCAGCTAAAGGGCCAATTATAAGTGTCATAAAACCCGCCATTTGAAATAAATAAAACACTATTTTGAAGACTAATTTGTGGCAGTGGTACAACTATACGCCCTCTTGCCTAACAACTGTTTAAATTGGTTTTTTCTAATTTCTCGAGCAAACCCACATTAGGGGATTTCGGCTTATTTGTGTAATCCACGCTGCGACCTTAAGTTCAGTGTGAATTATCTGCCATTGTCACATTAGCAAACAATTTTCGTAAACAGGGGGTGTGCAATAGACTTACCTCCACTTGGTGCACCCTGGGGAACGTATACTCAAACGGCAAAAAAGTCTATTGATCGGCAGTTGACTTCTGACTTCAAACTTCTATGGCCCGACAATTTGTCATATTCGACCCCTTCACGGTACTCATTTTACCTTTTTATGCCTTTGTGTCTTTTTCTTTTACACCTGTGAATCACTCTTCTGTTCCCCCTCTCGACTTTTTGTCACTTTGACATTCCTTCTCCTCTCTGTGAAGACCCGAAGTCAGCTCCAGGGACAATGATAACTATCAAAACGCCTGCCATTTGATATAAATAAATAAATTTTCGTAAACATGTTTAGATAATAGGTCAGTAAAGTAATGATCTACAAAGATGAAAAATTTTAGTTTTATGAGCTGTCCATTTAATGAAATTTACAAATGCAGACGAGATGGTCACGATCAAATGTGCCTTGAAACATGTTTATCCAAGGTACTTTAATCACTTCGCACAATTTTGGCTATTCAGTTCAGAGAAACCNTGATATTCCCCCCCCCCCTCTGTGAAGGACTAATGATAAGTGTCATAAAGCCCGCTATTTGAAATAAATAAACCTCCGGGTCAATAGAAATGTTAGTGTACATTTTGACTTGAGATCAGACTGAATATGATCCCCTTCCAATCTTTAATGCAAAACTGACTTAATTAAATCCATGCACAATGGCACAATTTCTATTAATGGCATTTAGAAAGGGAATTATGTTCATCTTCCAGGAATGCTTATGCGTTTGTTTTTAAAAAAACGATCTTGCAAAAACAAAAATTTAGAAATACATCAAGAAACAAACTTTTTTAACTTAAATCTCTTTTGGAAGTTAATTAAATATTCTCATAGCAAAAAGTGAAAACACAAAGTTGGATGAAAATCTGCCGATAGTGCTCAACGCTTGCTCGCTTTTTTCTCAACGTGATTAAATCCAACATCCTTCGAAAGTATCGTCGTTTAGCTCGCATTCGCTCTGTCATCTGCACCGGTTCCTCTTGTAATTTAGATGGATCGATATCATAGGGACTCGGATCCAATTCCGCTGGTTCAAATTTGTAATTATGGGTGTGTCTTTCATAGATGGTGATCTCAAATGGTCTGTCACCATTCCTAATGGTCACGGCAATTGAAGCTTTACATTTCATTTTCTTACTATATGCACAACGATAGACAAACTGTTGATCAGCAACCACAATGGTTTTGCGGTATGCAACCCCTATTGCCTTGCAAAGATAGGAAGAAATTAATATTACTTACTCGAGAGTAATTATCGATTTCTCTTTCAATGGAAGGCAAGTTGTAATATTTTTTGCGTCTAAGATTTTGTAGACTTAAGTTTGCAATCTCCATTATGCAAGCGCTATTCCCAGTTACTTGAGAGTAATGAAGTTAAGCAAAATGTACCTTCTTCCTAGTATTCATTTTAACTCACCTATGACATGAACTATATTACCATCAATTTAATCAAANATTCGACCCCTTCACGGTACTCATTTTACCTTTTTATGCCTTTGTGTCTTTTTCTTTTACACCTGTGAATCACTCTTCTGTTNTCCAGGAATGCTTATGCGTTTGTTTTTAAAAAAACGATCTTGCAAAAACAAAAATTTAGAAATACATCAAGAAACAAACTTTTTTAACTTAAATCTCTTTTGGAAGTTAATTAAATATTCTCATAGCAAAAAGTGAAAACACAAAGTTGGATGAAAATCTGCCGATAGTGCTCAACGCTTGCTCGCTTTTTTCTCAACGTGATTAAATCCAACATCCTTCGAAAGTATCGTCGTTTAGCTCGCATTCGCTCTGTCATCTGCACCGGTTCCTCTTGTAATTTAGATGGATCGATATCATAGGGACTCGGATCCAATTCCGCTGGTTCAAATTTGTAATTATGGGTGTGTCTTTCATAGATGGTGATCTCAAATGGTCTGTCACCATTCCTAATGGTCACGGCAATTGAAGCTTTACATTTCATTTTCTTACTATATGCACAACGATAGACAAACTGTTGATCAGCAACCACAATGGTTTTGCGGTATGCAACCCCTATTGCCTTGCAAAGATAGGAAGAAATTAATATTACTTACTCGAGAGTAATTATCGATTTCTCTTTCAATGGAAGGCAAGTTGTAATATTTTTTGCGTCTAAGATTTTGTAGACTTAAGTTTGCAATCTCCATTATGCAAGCGCTATTCCCAGTTACTTGAGAGTAATGAAGTTAAGCAAAATGTACCTTCTTCCTAGTATTCATTTTAACTCACCTATGACATGAACTATATTACCATCAATTTAATCAAAGACTTTTTTAAGTGAATGTGTGCTTATGGAATAATTTTAGTGTGAGAAATTAACATTTCAATTTTGAAATAACTGTAACCTGTAATAACTTTTGTGCAAGTAAATTATTCAGTCAATTACAACTTATTGACAGTTTGTCAATAGGACAAAATAATTATAGAATAAATCTATTCCCATTAGTTCATTTGATTAAAATATCAGCGACTTTTTATACTCAAAATGCAATGTGGGTTTGGAGGCGCAGTCATTTATATCAAATGTCAGGCTTTATAATAGTTATCATTAGCACTTAAGTTGAAGTAATATCAAAGGGGGAAAAAGTAGAGAAGGGGGAACAAAAGAGAGATCCACAGATGTAAAAGAGACAGGCAGACAGACACAAAGGCAGTGAAAAGGTAAGATGAGTACTCTGGAAGTGGTGGAATATGACATACAGTGTGGTCATGGTAGTTTGAAGTGAATATTCGACCGCCGGTTTACGGACTTTTAACATATGAGTATACATTGCAGAGGGTGCAACACGTGAAGGTAAGTCTATCGCGCACCCCAATTTGGAGGTATATGGATAGATCTTAAGACAACACCAATTTAATTTATGCTTANTGGTTTTTTCTAATTTCTCGAGCAAACCCACATTAGGGGATTTCGGCTTATTTGTGTAATCCACGCTGCGACCTTAAGTTCAGTGTGAATTATCTGCCATTGTCACATTAGCAAACAATTTTCGTAAACAGGGGGTGTGCAATAGACTTACCTCCACTTGGTGCACCCTGGGGAACGTATACTCAAACGGCAAAAAAGTCTATTGATCGGCAGTTGACTTCTGACTTCAAACTTCTATGGCCCGACAATTTGTCATATTCGACCCCTTCACGGTACTCATTTTACCTTTTTATGCCTTTGTGTCTTTTTCTTTTACACCTGTGAATCACTCTTCTGTTCCCCCTCTCGACTTTTTGTCACTTTGACATTCCTTCTCCTCTCTGTGAAGACCCGAAGTCAGCTCCAGGGACAATGATAACTATCAAAACGCCTGCCATTTGATATAAATAAATAAATTTTCGTAAACATGTTTAGATAATAGGTCAGTAAAGTAATGATCTACAAAGATGAAAAATTTTAGTTTTATGAGCTGTCCATTTAATGAAATTTACAAATGCAGACGAGATGGTCACGATCAAATGTGCCTTGAAACATGTTTATCCAAGGTACTTTAATCACTTCGCACAATTTTGGCTATTCAGTTCAGAGAAACCACGGATAAAAATACGCAGGCACGGTATGAATGGTCCTTTTTTCTGTCGTTTAAAAATAGTGTGCACCATTTGGGTGATCTAACTAGTTTACTTGAATTGTAGCATGCGGTATTTAACTAAGGACCGTTCTTGACACCCATCTCTTTATTGGTGAACTAAAATATCATTACATTTTTACGAGAAATTTTTGTCGTCACTTGAGCTAACAGCAAACCTTGACAGATAGACGTCTCTACATTTTCATTTGATAGACTAATTTAGTCAACTTATCTTACATCCCATACGATCCATCTTCTTTTATCTAATTAAGGATCTTTCAAGGATCCTTCCGCATTACCATACACAACTGAACCTCCATGTTGAGATTCAGCATGGTTAAATATATGCTGAAAAGGCCCAATCGTTTCTGCATTTTGACAAATTTCTCCAAATGTGGTTGAACATTTTCGAGTTTGCATGCAAAGAATGATCTATTTTTGCCCTTTTGAGGATATTTAGAATAGTGAAACAATTTTAATTCAAAATTATTTAGTTGAAAAATGAGCATTGTTCATGCAAATACGGTATGAAATGAAAGGAATAGCCACTTTACATAAATAGTGTTCTTCTGAAGGCGCTATGGCGATAGCTGATCAAGCTTTCAATCAAAGTCTCTAAAAAACTTGAAGTAAAAGGTCACTTCTCGTAGGTGATTAGATCCTTTACCTCTCGGTATTTCGAGTTTTGACTTTCCAATGCAAACTGCTTCAATCACAAAACCATGACCATTGTATTTATTAGTTTTAAGTGTTGCACTTGAAGAAGAGGAATGAATAATGGAGCGAAGTAAATATGATTCATTGAAAATTCATATACAATCCCCCCCCCCCACACACGCGCGCGTCCACAAGTGATTGTGTTTTATCTCAAAGACGTGACATTGCAGTCCACAGTTGCGCTTGACAAAAGCGAAAGCAATTTGGAAAGTATATTTCAGTAAGGTGTAATGAGAGGGGCTTGTCAAGAGATCCACGAAAGACAAATTGCATTTGATCTTCGAATTCTGGATGCACTTGCATTTTAGTGTTAATAATTTTCGCTTCGGATTAGTGACCGATTCCGTATCCACGATCTCTACTTGCTGACTAACTGGATAATGTGCTCTAGTTTCGACAGTTTCATTTTTTAATCTAGGGTGCGCGATAGACTTAACTCCACGTGGTGCACCCTGGACAACGTATTTTCTTACGGCAAAAAGTCTATTACTCGGCATTCGTTTTTGACTTCAATTTATTATGATTAGCTTTAAAAAAGGCTATAAGAAAAATCGCCCTCGTCAGGGCGAATCACGACGTCTTCAGATCCTCCAGTGGAATGCTGGAGGAATGTCTCCGGACAAAAAGATCCAAGTACAGAAAATCCTACAAACCTATGATGTAGACATTTTCGCAATTATGGAAGCTAACATTTCGGATTACAAACTGAGGTACTACCAATTCCCAGGTTACACCCTGTACAATCTACCTAAATACCGGCAAGTTGCAAGTGGAATTCTAACTGGAGTTAAAGAAGGCCTCACCTCACACTACGATCTATTCAAGAGTATGGNGCGTAGCAATTCGCTACAGGGGTAAAGGAGAAAAAACAAGATGCTCAAAATTTAACAAGTTTTTCGCTCTTATTTCTTATGCAATAAAACATAGTGTACATAACATATCAAAAAATAACAAGAAAAATTAGAGAAACTCGAATTTATGTCGGAACAAAAACAAGGAATTAAAAAAGTAGAAACGGTGAAAGAGGAATATTTGCATCAAATTAAAAAGAAAAAAATAAAAGAGCATCGTAGCATAGTTAAAAATAAAATAAAATGAAAAAGCTAACTTTAATACTACTTTTAAAAAAATAAAAAATCGTTATTTCTTTCAAAATATGGCACACTCATAAACGAAAAGGAATTAAACCAAACTTAAGTATTAAATTAAAAAGAAATTAGTATAAATCGATCAATACTACATTAGGTACAAAAATACCGATGATATACCAGAAATCACCAAATCAATAATTGTGCTGTCTCCTACACAAAATTCTGGATCATCCAAAAAGCACTAAAATACTCGAGATGCAATTAATTTATCAACAAAACTGCAAAAAATTGGTTGAAAAGAGTGTCCATGTCATTTCAAGATGATCAGATTAGATTATAAAGGCGTATGGGAGACGAAAGAAGTAAGGTTGAGTGGGCGAACAATTTTCTCGATGTCAGGCGTAAGGCTACTACTTCTCTTAACGGAAGGTTTCCAAACACATAGGAGTAGAAGTTCATAAGGAGGAGGGACGTTCACATTTCATGAGGGACTTGCAGAAAATGCGGTGGAAGTGAGAGCCATTGTATCAGGACAAGCCTACTTCAGATGAATACAAGAATTATCAGGACGGTTGGTGTTTTGAATTGGAGTTCCGTCAGACATCTACATTTTCAGCAACAAGTGCTTCGTAGGAAAAACGTGAGCTATAAGTGGTCATATGAATCCCGAAAGTAGACCTGAAGCATTTTCGAGTTACAGATACTCAAATAGAATCGTAGGTAGATGTAGTGCTTTTAGTTAAAATATATTAACTAAAAAAAGGGGTGCGCGATAGACTTACCTCCACGTGGTGCACCCTGGACAACGTATTTTCTTACGGCAAAAAAAGTCTATCACTCGGCATACGATTTTGACTTCTATTTATTATGATTAGCTTTAAAAAAAGGCTATAAGAAAAATCGCCCTCGTCAGGGCGAATCACAACGTCTTCAGATCCTCTAGTGGAATGCTGGAGGGATGTCACCGGACAAGAAGATCCAAGTCCAGAAAATCCTACAAACCTATGATGTAGACATTTTCACAATTATGGAAGCAAACATTTTGGATGAAAAAATGAAGTACTACCAATTCCCAGGTTACACCCAATACCTTCTACCTAAATTCCGGCAAGTTGCAAGTGTAATTCTAACTGGAGTAAAAGAAGGCCTCACACTACGACCTAATCAAGAGTATGGTCTCACTCCTCACATTCCGATCTAATCAAGAGTATGGGCTCGACGCAAGCCACTAAGATCTAATCAAGAGTATGGGCTCGGCACAAGACATAAGTGAGCGATCTAATCAAGAGTATGGGCTCGACACAACACATCTGCGAAATAATCAGATTAAATATTTAGAAATGTCAAAACCACTTCAAGATATATGCAATCTATAATCCACCTCAGAATTGTCCCAACTTTGACTTTCTTGTAATCCACCCCAGAATTGTCCCAACTTTGACTTTCTGAACACACAAAACTGTAGTATTAGGAGACTTCAACGCCCATCTCACACAAAACTGTAGTATTAGGAGACTTCAACGCCCATTCTACCAGATGGTGCTACAAGGACACAAATATAGCTGGAAACGAAATTGAAGACATGCTAAATAGCAACCCTCAGGAACTTATTTACAGCAATGAGGATCCGGCTACATATTTGCACTACAATGNTGTGCCTCAATTAAGGTTAAACATAGGGAGATCAAACATACTCACAAGCATATCACAAATAACTACATTCCTCTCTTCAAAGCGATGTTTGCAATTTCATCACCCAATTTTTGCCTCCTCATCCGC